TATCTGTCTTTACCATGCCAACAAATCACAGCAGAAGTATTCTCGTTTTTATTGCACCAAAATATTACGTCAAAATCAAGAATTCATAATTCAAATCCGACTGGAAATTTGTTTTATCCCTATTGAAAATGGCACGATAGCTTGTCTAATATCACACAATTCCAAAATATAACATTGTAGCATACTCTTAATTTTATTATACTCAATGATATTTTGCAAGTGTTTCGTGCTTCACATTATCCTAAAGTGCTTCCTTGAATTTTATTGCACATAAATTATAAATGCGCCAAATGTGCTGCCAAAAAGTGTCTCAAAAGGAGCTAGGAGAGTGTAGTTGGAGGAAAAGTAAAAAATTGAAAAACAAGGAATGAAATGATTAAAGATGTATTGTATTAAGGATAGCCAGATAAAATAGCTAGAGCTCCGATCAAAGTCAGTTAAATGGATGGGGATATTAAATTCGAGGAAAGGGCTATAAACCCTCTAAGACAGGTTATAATTAGGTCTTATTTAACTAAAACGCGACACCAATAATGAGATGCTGTGGAGGAAAAGGGACTTTTGGCATTAGTTAACTAGTGACAACAAGGTTTATACAAATTAAACATGGCCGAAGATGGGAAAGGCTACTATAAGCTAGAGGATACCTTTTTGCCATGACTAAAATGCTTCCTAATACGCTGCAGCCTGCTGCTGCCTAGCCAAAAGAAAGTGGCTTTAGAAATCGCATCAGATACGTAAGCCCGTGCGTTTAGAAATGTGGGATACTCAAATTATTAAAATAGCCATTAGTGCATCATCAAAGCATGGTGTAGACAACCTACATTAATTTAAGGAATAAAGAAATACCTGAGTGAATAGTTAGCAGCACTGAGCTATCAAATGTAAAAGCATTTCAAAACCGGAAATTAAACACGAAGGAGATGACAAAACTGTTTTTACGAGCAATATGCTATCCTGAATTTGCTTTGTATCTGTAAATAAAAACAGAACAAGTAATGAATGAGTGAAAAGTATAAGTTGAGCTCCCAAATTTTAGATCACTTGAATTGGGATAACGTATTTTTCTTCACCTCACTTAATGTCTAGGACATAAGAGCTTGGTCATAGTCATAGTTTGAGGACATGTATATTTATTAGTAACCTAGGTTCCTTCCCGAGGAAACTTCTTTAGCTAAAAAAACTAAATATAAAAAAAAATATACATAATCTATATAAAAACTAAACGATGATAACAAAAATAGCATAACACTAAATCAAATAATAATAATAATAATAATAATAATAATAATAATAATAATAATAATAATAATAAATAATATAATAAATATTTAATAAAATACTGTAATTAGCAGAGCTCACCCAAGGCCCCATTAATTGGTCGACCATGAGAATGCTCTTCTTTAGCATGTGCCTGTTGCCCTCCACGAGGGTGAACTGAGGCCTGTAGATGCTGTAGTTTCTCCTGCTGTTGATAATACTCCTTATTTTTATAACGTTGTTGCGGATGCTCTTGATGGTGTTCGTTTTGTGCAGATTGCTGATGATAATTGTGGTGAGATTGGTGAGTAGGGGCTGTCTGCCTTATTTGTTGTTGATAATGATGCTGCTGTTGCTGAGACTGCAACGCGTGTGCCAACCGGTGAAGGCTCTGTTGGTGGGACTGTGGGTGGAAAGCTGATGGATACTGCCCCACCTGCGACGATTGAAACGAAGTGGATTTTCCTGCCGCCGTTTGTGTTGCTGCTGGTGTCTGATGATGCTGATGCTGATGATGATTTTGACGGTGCTGGTGTATAGAAGCTTGGGACTGAGCAGTGTTATGAGACTGAGATTGGATCTGAGATCTTACTGGGATCTGGTTAGCAGCACGACTAGCCTGTCTAGTAGCATAGACGGGACTCGAGATTGATGAAACTGCATTCGACACAAGCGGCTCTGAGTCTGACGACCGACGTCCGTGCGAAGATACGTTAGAGCTAACTTGCATGCCGCGTCGAAGGCCGGATGCAGAGGGGCCGAACGAATTGGTCTGTAAAATGAACACACAGCCAGATTCGCGTATAGGAGTTAGA